GTTTCTGCTCAGTTCTTGTTGACGTGGATGCATTTCCACTGCTCTTGCCTGGAGCACATCCTTCTGGAGCTGCCTGCTCCTGCTTGCAAGGCATCCAGGTGACTGCATCTTCTAACTGAAACTTTAGAATTCAGTCTTGTGCATTAATGCATCTTTTAGCTCTAAACTGAAAATCTTGTTCTTAGCTTGGGAAGTATTTACTGTTTTGCAAGATCTGCCCGTGACTTTTAAGAGATAAGGACTGGCTGCCCGTAATCTCCTCCTACCAGATGGAAAATGGGCGTGGCTGGCGTTGGCAGGGCCAGCTTGGCACAGCTTCAGGTGTTGGGATTGGGATACAAGAGCAAAGCCTGCAGTGAAAGCTGCCTGTGCACAGGTGGGCTCCCCGCTCCAGCGGTGGCTGCAGCCTGACCCCCGCGGCTGAAACACCGACCTTGGCAGGGCCTCTCACAAGGTCAGACACCAGACTTGAGTTGTTCTGTCTGTCTCTCTCTCCAAATTTCCACAGCAGGCACCAAGAACTCCCCCTGGCCTCGCCTGCAGTGTCTGCAGTTGTGCTTTTCTGCTGAGGCAGCTTTTGTGTGAGCAGGACACGCAGCCCGTCCGGGTGTGCTGGGCAGGCTGGGATTGCTGGGAGCTCTCAGCCTTCACCACCTGCACAGGCAGCTGAACCTCAGTGGGGTGGAGGAAACTCCAGTGGCAGGGAGAGCTTTCTGGGAGGCAACAGCCCTTTGTACAGTGGCTGAGCTCTCTCCCTCCAAGGTTAAAAGAAGCTGGGATCCAGAGCGTCTATTTATAGCAACAATGTACAGTTGCCTTGGCAGAGAGGAGGGGAAGAAATGCAACTACTTCGTCTCTCTGTGGTTAGGCCAGGCTGGGCAGGCTGCCCTTCCGTCCTGACGTGTTTCCAAAGTCCTGTCTACTGGATGGATTTGAACCTGGTGACACATCTGCCATAGCTACTATTACTTATTGCTGCAAAAGGCCCTGAAATACCCTGTGCTGGCCACACCAAATACATTCCTGCTCTTTTTTACTCAATGCAGAATAATTCTCTCTCTTTAGTTCCTTTTCTTCACCAAACCTCTGTGGTCCTGACACTTTTTTTGTGAGGGATATAAGGAAAGAAAAAACCAAGCCCTTCCTGCTTTCCCTTCCTCTAAGGTTACCTCCTGTGAGGAGCTGGAGTAGACCAAAGGATTCGTTTCATAGCAATGTAATTTATTTGTCATCACATGAGCACCCACAGTCAGGACATACGAGGCAGGACATGGAAAATGGTGGCAAGTGCATGGAGGTGGCAACAGGGGTCTGGACCTTGGTTTTCCTACTAGTAGGCTTTATTTTAATTACAAGTTAAAAAAAAAAAAAAAAAAGATTATTTCTGTCCTTACTGAACTCTCTGTGCAGCAATTCCTTTTTCCTAGTGCTGGTACCTCTCACATGAGGAGAACAGGCCAGGAATGGAATATGGCACTTCCTGAAGCCTGTGATGTGTGAACAGGCAGGTATCATTCCCCGCTGGATGTGATCCTAATGAGCCTCTGTGATTGCTCTGAGGCAATGAGAACTAAGGGTCTGTCTGCTAGACTGGGCATCCTACACACACAGGTTCTCCTCTGCATCCAGGAGACAGGGCCTGGCATCCACGGGATCACACCTGCCCTCCAGGCCTGCAGGTGGGCCAGGTGTGCTGCTGTCACCTTGCTGTGTCTTGCTGTGCTGTTCTACCTGGGCAGCGCTTTCCAGTGTTCTCTGGTGCTTGGGGTTCATACTGTGCTGCCAGTGCAGAGTTAAATGTCCCTGCACATCAGTAAGACACGGTTCAAACAGGTAAAATGATGGCCAAATACACTTCAACTGTACATCAGTCACTTCTTTAGAAGTGGCACTGGACTTGAGCTTAACAGATCAGATGACCTGGCACGTTAACGAGCAGAAGCTCTGTGCAGTTTCCCACTTCAAGCAGCGTGTTCTGGATCGGATTGGAGGGAGTGGGAAGGAGACACTGATCACGAGAGCTGAGGGCTGTATTTCACAGGGGCCACGGCATGGCGAGAGCCAAGATCTGCTTGTGTGAAGGCAAAACAGGTGGGGTTTATTTGTAGCAGCCCAGCAGATCTGAGCATGCCTGGAGTGAGGTGAGGTGCTGTGTCCCAGCACAGGGGCCTCCCCAGCTGCAGAGTGTTCCCTTCAGTCACCTTCCCCTGCAGCCTCAGCTCTCCCCCAGCTGTCCGAGCACTCCTCCTTCTCCAGGGGAGGTTTAGGTACTGTCTTCCACCAGTGTGTGGGAAAACATTTCCCACTCTCCATGCAATAGTAAACTTCAGTATTTTGAGAAAGGTTTTTCCTGCAGGAGCACCGCCAGTGATGTCCCAGCCAACTGCAGGGGCTCAGCCCGTCCCTGCAGGTACTGCTCAGGCAAGCTGAGCTCTAAGAGTCCTTTGCTTTTCTCTCCTTTTTTGCTCTAGATGCCATTAAGGTGAAGAAGACCCTGGGGCAGAGGTTCCTCAGGTAGACAGCCAGGAAGGGGGTCAGGCCAGCCACAAGCACTTCCTTCTTCCTCTGTCCCACTGCATTGAGAACCACCTGAGCCACCTCGGCCGCCGTCTGTCCCTGGGCCGTGGTCTTGTCCATAACTGCCAAGGGAAAGCCCAGTGAACAGCAGTGTCAGCAGGTAAACCCACACCGAGGAACCTTTCCTAGGAATGCTCTAACTCAACATGGCTGCTTGTATTGGCTTTTACTCCAGCTGTGTAGGAGAGCACAGGTGGGCGTATCTCATGGTTGGGCCTGTAATTGCTGTCTAGGAGGGTTCAGTTTTGGAGGTTACTGTTCCTACCCTGCATCCCAAGTGGTTTTCTGATCCTTCAGAACTAACCTGTGTCCCCACCAGAGGCAAGCACACCTCGTAGCAACCTGCTGGGGTGGAGATGCTTTAGAAACGGGGGCACCAAATCGTGTCTCACCTCCGTAGCGAGATCCATCTGCCGTGATAGCGTTGAGAGAGAGGTTTGTCTGGATGTATCCGGGGCTCACAACCGTCACATCGATGTCATACTGCTCCACCTCTGCTCGCAGGCAGTCAAAGAAGGCCTGGGTAGCGTGCTTAGAGGCAGCATCTGAAAAACAGGGAAAGGGCTGTGCACCAAGGAGGAGGAGGAGCAGGGCTGAAGGAATATTCACTGCCCAAATGGCTTTTTAACACTGCAGTGCAGCCACTTCTCAGCAAGAACCCAGCAGCTGTTCTCCTGCTTCTACGTTTTGTTTTTGTTTAGTGAATGGCAGCAACAGGTAGTGGGACTGAGAGACAATTTAGGAAGGCAAAATGTAAACTCAAGTTGGAAACTGGCTGGGATCCTGAGCTTACTATCACAGCCCTGGCAGAGTACTCCAGAGTGAGCCCAGGCTGCCTCCCAGTCCTGATAAAGGAGACCCAAAGCCTGGCTTGGGAAGTGTTGGTCACACAGGCTGTGTGTGGGGAGGGCAGGGCTGGCAGTCCCTGCACGGTGCTGAGCACTGGGGACTTGTAGAGCAGGTTCAGAGCTGCACACAAGTCAAAACCAGATCTCACAAGCAGGCAGGAGCAGGGAAGCATGGCCTGGGGCAGGATTTCCCCTGTTAAATGGCTGAGTGACTCCGTTTCCTTGCTCCCTTCCCATATCCATGGTCACTGCCACCACCTCACCATGGCTGCAGGGCTGACCCTGGCAGCACGAGCTCAGCATGGGCTGCACGCCCTGTGAGGACCCAGGCAAGGGCTCTGAGAGCTCTTCAGAGCACAATTCCTGGAGCAATTGCACCCACATCACCTGCAAGACCCCATGGCTCAGACATTCCAGGCTTTCCTCCGCTCAGCATTGTGCCTGACCCATCTTATGCCACCACCACTGTCCTTTCGGTGTTTATTTTCAGTGATTTGCAGGTGCTTGTGTGCTAAACACTCCACTCTCGGTTCATCCACCTTTTAAAAGGGTTTTTCCAGTAATCTCTTTCTTGTTGTAGCTGATTCAACATGAACAATTTGCTGGATCAAGATGACTGTTTAGGCTTTTATTTTGGCATTGGTTTTGCTATGGCACTTCATAAATTATTGAAACAAAAGGGTTCTACTTTCTTACTGCAGATTAACCAAGCAAACAGCAAGGCTAAAATGCAATTATGGATTTATAGGGACTCTCAAGTGCTAAAATAGGATTATCAAGGTGTTTTCAGGGCAGTGAAAACATATTGTCCTTCTCCATCCCTGAACAACAGGACTCAGGTTTTGTATTTGAGAGTGCCTTCCTCATCTTTTCTCAGTGATTTGTGACCACACTGAGGGTGATGCACAGCTCTGCCTTCCCTGCATGCAGCCAGCTCCATGGAGAGCTAAATGTGGAAGCAGGAGCCAAGTATTTATTCAGCCTGGTGCCCCAAATATGTCTTTCCCATCTTCTGTGGAGGTACTTACATGCAGATCTGAAAGGAATGCTTATTTTGCCTTGAACGCTGCTGATGGCCACAATGTGGCCTTGTCTCCTCTTGATCATGGAGGGGAGAAGTGCTAGCAAAGGACAGAAAAGACTCATTCAGACAACAGTCCTGCCATTGCTGCCGTCGAGAATCAAAGCTTTCAGAGTGTTTAGAGATGCTGAAGTGAATTGGATCCCTTCCCAAATTCCTGCCAGCCCAGAGTCAGGAGACAGAACAAGGAATCATCTCTAATCAGGCACTTCCCACACAGTCCTGCCCAAGCACCTCCTTAGGCCTGTCCACAACCCAAAACCTTCCACCCACCCCTCTCCTGCTGCACTGCACCAGGCACAGTCACAAACCCAGGTTAAGCTGTGCTCAGCTGTGCAGGGGCCTCAGCCAAATCCACATGGATCACACGTACCTTTGGTGAGGGCTACGGGTCCGAAATAATTCGTTTCCATCACTTTCTTATCCACATCCAGTCCCGTGTCCACAATGGTGCCTCGGAAGCTGATGCCTGCGTTGTTGATCAGGATGTCCACGTGCCCCAAGTGCTTCAGGATCTCCTCAGCACCGTTGAGCACAGCTTTGGTGTCCGAGAGGTCAAACACCACAGCGTGGGGTTTGTGTGTCTGCGAATGAGTAAGAGTTAGCAAAACACCAGGCCAGGCTGTGCTGGTTGTTTGCACTCAGGATGGGATTTCCCAGCTCTGGAAGCACAGGAGCAGGGCCACCCAGACCCTATGGCAGGAATACGTGAGAGAAGCAGGTTGTGCTCTCGTCTGCTCCTGCAGCATGTTCCTTATACCCGAGCCCAGGAAAGGGGCAAGGGAGAGCTTCCTCAAGTACTGAAGTTTCCTGCTGTCTTATTAAGGACAAAGCACCTGAGAAAGTCAAAACTTAGCCCATGTGTTTCCTACAGAAGCCAGCAATACCTTTTTTTGCCACTGTCAGCAGAAGTAGGCATGAAAAGTAAAAGCCAACAGATGAAAAGTCACTTTTGCAGATTCAGTGTGTGACATACAGGAGCAAGGAGCCTGGGCATTGCACTCCCACGCTTTCCCTTCCATTTCTAGCCAAGGAGTCTTTCAGATGCCTTATTCTGGTAGGGTTTTTACAAGAAATGACATGCCAGCTCAATGTACTCCTGTATCAACACCTATCCCTAAGCAGAGAGCTGCATTTTTCCATTGCTCAACAGAACGAGCCACAGGCAGTCCTGTAACCTCTGTTAACCCCACGAGCAGAAATCCCGACCCCACAGAAGCGCCCTCCTCCCACACTCACCTTCTTCCGGTGATTCTTCACAGCAGAAAGCTGCTGCACCAGCTCCTTGAGCTTCTCACTGTCCCTGCCACACAGCACCACCTTGGAGCCAGCTGCGTGGAAAGCTTTGGCACATTCTTTGGAGGAAGCAAGGAAGGGAGGAAAGTAAGCGCTTGAAGAACAAACAGCAGATCCACATCAGACCTGGTGGCAACTGAAACTCCTGTTGGCTGGCAGGGGTCTGAGGTGGCTCCACGGCTCCTGAGTAATGGTCAGGCTGATTTACAGCCAGGTCACAGCCATGTGAGTGTGACAGACACATGACAGTGGTGAGGCAGCTGCTGTGCTCACAGTTAACTGTGCTGGTTGTGCAGTTTTGTGCTGCTTACACGCCCTCCCCATCAGCTGGTTGGATTTGCCTGTGCCTCTTCATTTTTGACTTTATGCCCTCCTCAAGAGGGACCACAGTTACCCCGTGTGTGTCATCTAACACAGTGGGGAGTGGACAGTTTGGCAAGGTAGCTGGGACTGCAACATGAGTGCAGAACACCAGTTTGGGGAAGTTTTAAAGAAACAATTTGGCTTCTGGCTTTTTCAGGATTTAGGGAAAAGACCCCTGACAGCACAAGAACAGCGTATCTCATTCCTTGCTTTGATGAGCTCCAGTTTATACAGGATGATTAAAAATTTTCCTTAACAAACCAGACTTTCTTGCATCCAAATCTGAACTGGCTGTAGCTATGACTGACGTGGGAGCGCAAGCCATGCCTCTCAGAACTCAGAGCAAAGGAACTCCCTGCTCATCACTGCTTTATCCCAACAGCTGCCCCTTCCCCAACCCTCTGCCCATCCTGCCCTGTCCTTTGGGTCCATACCTTTTCCCAGGCCAGAGGTGGCCCCTGTGATCACCACCACAGCTTCCTGCAGGTACGCCCTCATCCGCATCCACTGCAGGAACCGGAAAAGCCCGAAGATCCCCAGGCTGCCGAAAAGCAGCGGGATGATGACTGTGCTTGTGAAATCCATGAATCTTCCTCTCTGAACAGTTTTCCTACAGCCACAGGAGGAAAGGAGACAGATCATTGTGCTGTGAAGAAAATTAGCAGAGGCTGGAAAACAGGGGGACCTTGGACCAACAAAAAACTAATGCCATACAGAGGTATCATCAGCAGATCTCCTCGTCCCTTCATTTAGACTTTGGAAAGTTCACATCAGTACCCAATTTTAAGCCTTTAAATGCTAATCTGGACATCCCAGCAGGACGCTTGGCATTGGATCCTGTCAGCTGTCACGTAACAACTTGGGTTCAGAGATGCTGTTCCCATGTTTTGCTCCAAATTCACCCTCTTGTACAAACTGTGCTTAGAGTGAAAGTTCCCCAGGGCTGGGATATGTCCCCACGTTCTTCTGATTGCAGTAAAACCTCTCAGATTTCTCTAGGACAGCCAGTACCACAGTACCTACAAGCCAGAGATCAGTTACTGTGCATTATCCCAGATGGATATAAGCCAGTCTGTATTCTGGAGGCTCCAGGTTTTCTCTCCGAGCAAGTTATTTGCTTAACACACCGAAATCTCATCCTGGAATTGGATTCTGATACCAAGGCATAGCCCTGATTTCCTTGCTAAGCCATTCCTTCAAGGGAGTAGTTTGTGTTACAAGGCCAAAGGGCAAGTGAGACTCCTGCTGTGAAAAGGCCACTGATTTCCCCAAATTTTTATTAAGGCTTGATGTCAGGGTGAAGTCAATGACAACCCCTTCCTGGCATCTGTGCCACTTCTGGGTCACTCATAAAGCCAAACCCAAATCTCAGTGTATCTTCCCTTCCTCGTCCTTGTGCAGACAAGACTTTGAACTCTTGCAGTTCAAACTGCAAGACAGATCTTTACTGGGAAGATACTGGAATGTTCTGGGCACAAAACTTGTGCTACTTCAAACCAAAGGCACAAGAAGCAGAAAACAAGAGGGAACTGCAATGCTAAGCCAGAATTTAGTGCCACTGAGCTTGTGTGGAGCTGAGGGGATGGCAGAGGCTCTACATGCCATGGAACAGGGCTAATGTGGAAAATATCAGGCTTTCCAGATGTCCATCAGGGGCCTGGAGAGAATCCCTCAAGTATCTGTTAGTGAACGGACTAACTTACTGAAACAACAGTGAACTGAATAAAGCAAATATTTCTGGAGGTGCAGCTGGAAACACAATAATATAACCCCAGTGGCCTCTTCAGGCTGGATCAGAAGGTTCAGCTGGTCACTGAAAGCAGCTGCCTTTTTGTAGCTTCTCAGAGATCTCCTGAGATTCAGAGGATGAGATGTGGGCAGGGCCAGCAGGTGCTGTGCTGACACTGGGCTGACAGCACATCCTGGAACCAAAAATCATCCTGGAACCAAAAATCTCCAGCCCCCATTCAGGCCCTTCCATTATTCCCAGAGTGGGAGCTGGCAAGTGCAGTGGCACTTCCTGAGCACAGGCTGAAGGGGAGGCACTTCAGCAAAAATCTGGCCCTGACCAAATTGCTTCTGATTTCAGTGAAATGCAGGTGAAAAGGTAACTGGGAAAGGGGGGGCTTTTCCTGACACCTTTCCTCATCAAACCACACCAGGAGATGGGAGGGAGTTCACGCTGAAAAAAAAAAAAACCCTGTTATCAACAGGTAATGTTTATGACACCCAAGTTTTCAGCAGGAGAGAAGCCACTGCTCATGAACAGGTTCAAATCAAGCCCTGTGATTCCCAGTTCTCCATCCCAGAAGGCAGGATTGGAACATGCAGGTTATTAGAAAATAGAAATAAGAAAACTGATAATGGGAGCAAATACAGGTGACTGGGAACTTTCTGAAGGCTTCCCATAAAATAAATCAAAATCATCCAATTAACAAAAAAAAACCCCAAACAAAAACAAACCCAAAACTTTCCCTTTAAAACAAAAAATGGGATGTTATCCTATGAAAGCCAGGACAGTGATTTCTGAAGGAACAAGGAGTAGTTAATAAGCTCAAGGGGTTCACTAAAGGCAGCGAAGATGAGATCAAGTCCTAAAAGAAACCAAACCCCTGGGGAGCTCCCCCAAAAAACACCTTTTTTTGTAGCTTCAGCCTCCCAGACTCCCGTTGTCCTTTATGGGACGAGGGGCAGCAACTGAGGGGGCTTCATTCCCAAATCCAGGGGGATAAAAGGAAAGAGGAGGGGAAATCTGGTTTTCCTAAGGGAGAAGCACAGCAGCTCTAGGCTTGATTAGTGGCTTTAGTCTGCAGAAAGCACCGTGTCCTACCTTGGGAAAGAGCTCACTTGCAGTGGCTCTGGGCTGGTGTCTCCCTCCGGTCCCACTTAAATTTGGAAGTGGCAGAGATCCAATAAAATGTGCTGTGTCCAATGCCAGCTCAGCCAAGAGCTGCCTCTGAAAACAAACCTCGGGAATACGGGCTGTGACCTTTCCAAGGGAGGAGGGGAGGGAGGAGAAATTTAAATTTAACCCCCAGATTGAAAAGGCAAAGTGAGCTCAAAATGGGACCAAAGTGACAGCGACCCTCTGATTGTTCCTAGTACCAAATCAGGGCATCCATAAGGATCAGTGCTGGTCTTTCCATGCTCTAGATGGGGAAAAAATAAAATAAAATAAAAGGCAATTTGTAAATCAGCTGTAATTCTCTATTACTGTAATTAATTTCAGGGCATACACTGATGCACACTCTGAATGGGTGTCGAGCCAGCAATCTCCCCT